AAGAATATAAATTATACTTCAAATTTAGGTAAACAAAACTGAATAGGTTATTAAAAGACCAAAAAAAAAAATTCTAAGAAGCATTTCAAATGGATACAAGCAACAGAACCAGAAAGACTTTATAAATAGAATGTGATTTAAAAAAAAAAAAAAAAAAACCCAAAAAAGTTTCCCCACAGGAGTAGAATACAGCAAGGTCTAAATAAAACAACTAAAGGTCCTGACACCTTTTTCCTTTAGAGAAGGCACCACAAAAAATACCAAAACTACCACTTACCTAAGTAAGCAACTGCTTTGGAAAGCGATTAGTAAACCTTGAGAAAGCCATTCTAAATGACTTGGGCAGTGTTGATCAAAAGTCATCCATTTCAGAACTGGAAGGATCTGAGATCTCATCAGCTTCCTTCATTAACAACGGGAGAAACTGAAACTCGGAAGCAAAATGAGTTACCAAAGTCTCATCACTAGTTAAGATGAGAAATAAGGCCTATAGCTTCCACATGCTCCCCCTGGGGCTCTTACCACTAAAGACACTCTCTTCTCCTGAAGGTAACATTTATGTTATGTTGTTGATTTACACATAAAATTTTTCTTTCATTCTAGTAGCCTGTGGGTGGTGTCCAGACTTCATTTGGATGGTAAAAGTGTCTTCCCAAACTCATACCTTACTTTCTCTCTACTTCATAAGAAAACCAACTTTCCAAGTACAGGTCCCAACAGGTTGGATCAGTTTTTGGTATTAAAGGCTGACAGCATACCATGTCATCCTGACTCATTACTCATCCTGATGTTCCGAACCCAGCTAGCATTTCATTAAAAACACCACCACTTCTTCATCCAGGTGAAGTAGTTTCATTTCACAATAACAAGAGGAGCCGGCAGGGACAGTGACTACTCACCAGGCAGGATCATTTCTGGGCTACAGATTTTGAGAAAAACTGAGGCAATGGAACAGAATACATCTAGCTGATAGAGAACGTAAAATCAGGGAACATGCAAATTCAAGTCTCTAGTAGCAAAACATAACAATCTTATTTATTAGCCAGACAGTGGTGGCACACACCTTTAATCCCAGTACTCAGGAGGCAGAGGCAAGTGGATCTCTGTGAGTTTGAGGACAGTCTGGTCTACAAAGCAAGTTCCAGGACAGCCAGGGCTACACAGAGAAACCTGTCTCAAAAAAGCAAAACAAAACAAATGCTATTTACTAAACATTCTACCATAGCCTAGGTTGGGTACTAGTCTACGAGATTTACATACATTATTGCTAATCTTCACAACTCACCCCCCAAGAGAGGTATGACAGAGGGAGAGAAGCAGAACCAGAATTTCTGCATACAAGGACTTTACAGGTGGCAAATGGGAGAAGTGGGCACCAAAATGACCTTTGATTCCAAGCCTTCTTACAAATCAGTAAGCATACTATTAGCCTGTACACACATGCTGAGGTTCTGAGAATGCCAGTGTGCACAAGGCACGCCATTTATTTAAGTAGACCTCTCAGCACCATATGAATACCGAAGGCCCCAAGATAAATAATTTTCAGTGATAAAGCAAGTGATACGGCCAAAGGTGGCCCTTGAACTCAGGAGGGTTCACTTTCTGTTCTATCGTAAGACCTTCTTATCTATAAATATCCCAGATTGCATTAAGTACAATAGCAAATTAGTTTCTGACAAATTTTACAAATTATATATGAAAAACCAGTATACATGTGAGAACCCTACACAAAATCAACTTTGGAGTGTTCTAAAACAATATGCATGCTACATATTCAAAGCTGTCTAAAGCAGGGCTCAAGAATGTCTTCAAAAACAAATAAACAAACAAATAAATAAAGCCGGGCATTGGTGGCACACGCCTTTAATCCCAGCACTCGGGAGGCAGAGACAGGCGGATCTCTGTGAGTTCAAAGCCAACCTGGTCTCCAGAGCGAGTGCCAGGATAGGCTCCAAAGCTACACAGAGAAACCCTGTCTCGAAAAACCTAAATAAATAAATAAATAAATGATAAAAAGAATGTCTTAAAGTACTATAAATGGCTTAAAGGAAAAAGGGAATGAAGGCCATGAAACAATGAACTCTCTTAGGAGACTAAAGCTGGCTTAGGACAAGCTGGTTCACAAAAATGGAAGAATTTCTGCACTACACTAAATGCTAGGTTTAATGGCTCAATATAATCGAATGATAGAGTACCTTCATCATAATTTCAGAACCTAAAATCAGTTAGGCTCAGCCAAGAGGCATCCCAGAGTCTACTTAGATACTTGGGACAACTCCTCTCTAGGACACTTATCTCCTAACTGGAAAAGTGAGGTGTGTGTGTGGAAGAATAAAGCACAGCGTTTTTCCAAAGAGTGGACTGCCAAGAATGGAGAAAACACTGGGCTTGTCACAAACAGCAGCACACTGTAAGCTGGCCCTTTGGGAAGCCAGATTGGAATTAGGGGCCAAACACTAAAGAGGGTGTACATACATAGAGGGTGAAGTGACAAGAGAGGGAGACAAATGCTGGTAAAGACATGGAGCACTGGAGCTCTCACTTCCGGTAGGAAACCAAATAGGACAGCCACTCTACAAAATACTTATCCTAAAGCCCAGGAACTACTGTCCTCACTGTCTACCCCAAGGATTAGCAAATGGATGCCCCACACAAATATGCAGATTTCCAGAGGCACTTTAGTTATAACTGCCAAAATATGGATGAAGCCAAGATACTTCGGAGGCAAATGAAAAGGCTGTGCCACAGTCACACAATGGGGTATGACTGAGCACTAAGTAGAGTGAACTGGGCGGGTGCAATGGTTCACACCTGTAATCCCAGCACTAGGGAGACTCATGCAGAGCTGCTGAGAGGTCAAGGTCAGCCCTGGCTACATAGCAATTTCCAGGCCAGCCTATGCTACTATATTTAACCCCATCTCAAAAAATCAAAACAAGGATGAAAACCAAAACACTCTACTAAGTGAAGAAGCAATCTGAAAAGGACATCATTCAGATTCAAAATGCACAACTAGGAAGCCAGTGACAAGGTCTGTGGTTCTTAAGAGCAACGGCAGCATGAAGCTACTCTGTGCGATACTGTGAAGGTCCATCCATGTCACTAGACTTTTATCCAAACCCAAAGAAGGCGCAGCACCAAGCATGAGCCCTAAAGCAAACCAGATTCTGGCTGATGTAGTGTGCCAGTGTAGTTCATCTATTATAACAAATGTGCCATTTGGGATGGTGATAGCAGAGGCCACACAGTGGGAACTGGAGCAAACGGGAAATCTCTGTACTTTCCTCTCAATTTTGCTGTGTATATAAAAGTGAAAGCCTACAATCTTTATAAAAAAGGAAAAACTCACTCAACATACAGATATTCTTATAAAAGGATAAACTGATGGGTTTACAAGAGCATCTGCAGGATGCTGGTTAAACACAGTATATTCATACAAGGAAATACTGAGCAGCTGTAAAACAACACATCTTTCAACACTGATAAAGTGTTAAGTAAAAGGAATGTACAAAAAGTGTGTACAGCACACCATTAGTGTGTTTACAAAAGTATCTATGCAAATTATCTGTACAAGCGTCTATCTTCATGAGCTATCTACAGAAAGTCAGAACAAAGCTATAAGCTGGGTATCTCTGAACACACAGGTTAAACTAACACCAAGAGAGCATACGCTGAAGAGGACGGGTAGGCAAGAGAAGATGCTAAGTGTTTGGCTGGGAGATTTAGAAAGGACATACACTCAGAAGCAGGACTGTCCAACAGTGAGGGCAACTGGCGATATCTGAGACTAGGTCAACCTTTCTTGTGTAGGCTTTCTTGCCCTTTTAAAATGCTTAGCATCACATTTATGGCCTCTACCCAGTAGATGGTAGAATACTCTTTTCTCATACAGTTATGACTACCAAAAAATGGCTCTGGACATTGCCAAATGTCCCCTCTGAGGCATAAGTGCTCTTTGTTGAAAAGCACTACTCAGAAGCAACAATAGGTAACAGTTAACTTACAAAACACTCTTGATAACATATTCCTGTAAATTAATTGCAAATCCAATGCATATATGTATTTAATGTCTCATATATATGCATATAAATATATTTTTCCCAATTCCTCCTCATCTACATAGGGCTACCACATACCAATCACTTTCACAAGCTGACCTCTGAAAGCCCCTCCCAATGCTAAACAGGCATTCCCTGTGCCTGTTCCCAATGACACTCAGGTCCTTCTGAAAATCTGTAGCTGCATTGTATGAATTGAGTTACCAGCCTTCTCCATTCCTCCCACCCACCTCCCAAAAACAATAGTTTCTACATCCATAATCTTCTAGGATGCTAAGGAAGGCAACCAAAACACAGAAACCTACCAAAGAGATTTTGACTTAATTTTAAAATAATAATAATAATAATAATAATAATAATAATAATGTAATAATGACACAGTAAGAATATAATTGCTTGCATTACACAAATAATGTTTCTTCCTGTAATTCCTAAGGACCACACATAGTGCCATTGTTTTAACATCATGAAAGACAGTATTCCTGACTTCAAGGAAATTACAAAGAGAGAGATTCATTATAAAGCCAAGAGAGGCCTTAACTAGATTCTCTAGGTCATAATTTTATTAAGTATAATGCCATTAGTAATATGCCACAATGAAAGGGTGGCAGGAGTTAAGATACTCAACAGGCTTGAATCTTTTCAAACAGATCTAAAACTGGTTGATTCTCCTGTGTCTTTGCAGAGATCCATGGCACCCTGGCCCTCAGCTTCCCGCTCTGAGGTCACGCCTTCAACGCTGTAATCGGTGCGATGGTCTGGGTGTCATCATCATGAAATCATGCTCTTCAAATCCTAGTGCTGTGCTGACTGCTTGCATTTAGCTCTCTGGAGGTTGGCTTTTGTTTGTGGAAGAGACCTCGGTGACCTCAGTGCAATCAATACACCCATGAGTGGCTATGGAAGATGCTTAAAAGTATCAGCGGCGAAAAAGAAACTCACCATTCTAACTACTTCAGGGTAAGTCTGCTCTGTCAGACAGCCTCTGCTTATTGTAATGTAGTCCACCAGTTCATTAAGAGTGGAGCGCTTGTATTCTTTCATTTTAAGATCAGATAGCGTGTCCATGAAGTCAAAAATGACACAGCACTGCTGAAGTTTCTTTAGGAACAGTTCAGGCTGCTCTGAGGTTGGAACGTCTAAGAAAAAAAGAGGAAATGGTGTGAGTCTGTCATCAATTCCAGGCAACAGGAATTCTCTGTGAAAGTTACTTCAAAAGCGAACACAAAGGAACAACACAAAGTGTTCTTGTTAACATTCAAATAGGCAGGAGACACCGTAAGCACCACACCAGAGAACCCGAGTCTGAAGCCCCACACAAGTAAGGGACTGCATCTGCTATTCTGCAACTGAAGACTGGCTAAATCCCAAAAGCCACCTGCAGGTTAAAGCAAGGTTTAGCCCAAAACACCCCAATGCCAACATCCTTAATAGCTAAAATCACTGAGAGGTCAAACTTTCCCTTCTAAAGTGAAGCCACAAGTTTTCAGTCAGTTTAAATTCATTTACTAAAAAGTTTCAAAGCAGAAATCTCAGTCTATCATTTCATCTGACATCCTTGGTGTTTAAAGCAATGGCTGCATGTGGGTTTTGTTTTCAGTTTGTTCTGGCTCCATGAAGTTGCTTTGTCAAAGAAACTTGGAAAACCAACAAAATGAAACAATGCCAACAAGTACACCAATGCGGGGAAATGGCTCAGTTGGTAAAGTGCTTACACACAAGCATGAGGACCCAGGTTCAATCCTCAGGAAAGTCAATCATGGTAGTGGACATTTGTAAGCCCAGCTCTGAGGAGGCAGAGAGCAGAAGCGTCCCTGGGGCTTCCCAGCCCAGCCTCTCTGGTGAATCCCAAGTCCCTATGAGAAACTCTGTCTCAAGAAACAAAAAGGAACAGCTTCTGAAGAACATACCATACCCAAAGTTGACCTCTGGCCTCCACATGTACACACACCCAAGCAGACATATAAAAAGAGCACATCAGAAGTGGTGATGTAAGAACAAATTTCACTTGCATCTGTATCTTTTGACCCATGTTCTTTCTGTTTGTTTGTTTGAGCTTTTTTGTTTTGTTTTTCGAGACAGGGTTTCTCTGTGTAGCCTTGGAGCCTATCCTGGCACTCGCTCTGTAGACAGGCCTGCCTCTGCTGTCCAAATGCTGGGATTAAAGGCATGCACCACCAATGCCCAGCTTTGACCCATGTTCTTGAGCAGAGAGAAAAAATACACAAACACTTTTATTACTCTGCAAGTTGTCTTCGGACCATTACATGTGCGTTGTGGCATGCATGTGCCCGCACATACATATACACACACAAAAAAAGATTAATAAATATAATTTAAAATAGTTAAGTGTTCTCAAAATAGACAGACATCTGTTCTCTTTTCAAACAGCAAATTAGGGGCTGGAGGATATAGCTCAATTGGTAGAGAACTTGCCAGTATATACTAGGTCCTTGCTTAGATCCCCAAAACTGCATAAAATCACAAGGGCTGACACTGGCCCGCAATTCCTGTACTTGGTTGGGAAGCAGAGGCAGTATTCAAGAGCATCCTCAAGCCTGTGCCTGTGTAAGGGGTGGTGGCAAGAGAGTTAAGCAGTTAAATGCGCTTATTACCAAGCCTGACTCGAGGGGAGAGAAATAAGATTCGAAGAGTCAGGCATCAATGACCAGAGCAAAACTGTCTTCTGGATACAGCAGGACCACACACTCATGAACTCAGAGCAGTTGCAGATGTCTGCACAAGACCTGCCCAAGACCAAGTCAGTCAACAATCTAGCATGAAGTAAGAAGGAGTTCCCAAGCCCTCTAACCTAACAGGGGAGCTATGGGCAGCAGATGGCTTCTAGGGGAGGGAAAGTCAATGTTCCTTAAGAGTGTGGCTCCTGGCCCGCCAATGGTGATCAAGTGGATGGTCCCAGACCCAAGAATGTTGGGACAGCACAAACTCAAGTTGAGGGATGGGTAGGAAGTGGGGGTCCATCTGGGAGAACCTAGAGGAAAAAATGAGGGGTGAATGTGACCAAAATTCCCTTATGAAAATCTCAAACAATAAGAATATTTTTCAGATGACAGTCTAGGTAGGAGTAATGACACAGGCTTTAATCCCAGCACTGGGGAAGCAGAGGCAAATGGATCTCTGTGAGTTCAAGGCCAGCCTGGACTACATGAGTTCTAGTACAGCTAGGGCTTTGTAGTGACCTTGCCTCAAAGAAAACAAAATAAAAACCTACATAACATAAATTTGAATCCCATACTATAACAAACTGTTCTGAGAATCAGTTGGTAGAGTGTTTTCTGACTCTATCAGTTTGATTCCAAGCATATCACTCTCTCTCTCTCTCTCTCTCTCTCTCTCTCTCTCTCTCTCTCTCTCTCTCTCTCTCTCTCTCTCTCTCTCTCTTGCTCTCTCTCTCTCTTGCTCTCTCTCTCTCTCTCTCTCTCTCTGGGGGAAAGGGGGGGGACTTGGCTCGATGTTATTTCTAAAAATGAGATAGAATTTTGAGGTTAAAATTCTCCAGCTAGGAAGGAATATGATCTACAGTTGTCTAGTCTACTTCTTATCCTATTTCTTTCTACTACTTTATCTACCCCTACCCCTATACTGTAGCTTCTCTTGAACAGCAATGAGAATTATAATCAGTGTGGTGGTTTGAAGAGGATGGCTCCCATAGGTTCATCTATTTGAATGCTTAGTCCCCAGGTCGTGGAACTGTTTGGAAAGAACTAAGAGGTGTGGCCTTGTTGAAGGAGGTATGTCACTAGGGGTGAGCCAAACTAATCCCACTTAGTGCTCCAGTATCCACCATGCCTGACTGCCTGTTGCCATGTTCTTTGACATGATAGTTACTGACTCACCCTCTCAAACTGTAAGCCCCTAGAAAGGCTTTCTTCTATAAGTTGCATTGGTCTTGATGTTTGTCAAAACAATCCATAAGTAACTAACACAATCAGGGTAGGCTCTACTGCCATAATCCAATTGAATAATTCATTAATACCAAGAATACATTTAGAGGTAAGCAGGTGACATTCTTGTTTAAAAAAAAAAAAAAAAAGAATAGAGCTGGCTGGTGGTGGGACATGCCTTTAATCCCAAAGCTTGGGAGGCAGAGGCAGGCGGATCTCTGTGAGTTCCAGGCCATTCTGGTCTACAGAGTTTTCCAAGACAGCCAAGCCTACACACAGAGAAACCCTGTCTCAAAAATACAAACAAACAAAATTAGAGATGATTACTGAGATTTCATGATGAGTACTTGGGTCTCTAGCCACACCCACATGGCCCCTGTGATACTAAACAAGAACTCTACAGATTTAGCCAGTTTACCAGACACCACAGAGGTAAATGGGAACAGGGAAAGGACTTACTAATGTAACATCAGTTAAAGGTTAAAAGCTTCAGGGTATTTTTAATTCATCCAAATTTTGATAGCATAGATTTAACAAAACCCCCCAAACTAGACTATCCATATGGAGAGTGTTACATGTACATATAAAGTCTGATGCATCAGCAAATGACAGCTTTTTAAAGGAAACCATCATTCAAGCAAAAACAATGTCTGTGGTCACTCAACAGATTTTCATATTTAACAATTCAAAACATTCAGGCAGTTGGCATTTGGAAGCTTTTTAATGGTAAGCAGTTGGAATCCATTCCTTATTCATGCGAACTGATCCATCACAGATAAATCTGAAGCAGGCTATCCACCTACTAGATGAGACAGTAACAACTTCCGTCCTGGGTACACACTCCTTGTGTTCTAGTCTAAGCAGGTAGACACACTAGTTCTCATTCAATCTATACAACAATGCACATAAATAGGTGCTATTTTCAATTTAATAGATGAGTAAATCAAGACAAAGAAATTCAGTATCTTGGCCAGAATCATACAGCTAATAAACAGTGGAGACATGATTCAAACTTGGGCTGTGTGGCTCACAACCTGAACTCTTCTACACAATGTAGCATTCTGCGGCACAGAAAGGCCAGAGACTACATTCCAGAAAATAGGGTGCATGTAAAGGCAGTGGCAAACTAAAGTAGGGAGAATCACAAATGTGCTCCCAGCATGCCCCCATTCATAAGTAGCATACTGAGCTCCTCCTTTAACTGCCTCCAGAGCTTCCCAGGCAGAGCAAAGGCTTTGCTCTCTATTCTTTATCCTTTACCACAGATTAAATTCTTCTAAAAGGGCCTCCCTTCATTAAAGAACTTAAGCAGTGAGGACAAACCACAAGATGTGGGGGCATCCCTTAAACAATTTGTACAGTAACAGCCTGAAAAAAAAAAAATTCCCATCACAACTGAAGAATGAGGTACAAAATCGGTTGAAGAGCCAGGATTGCTTCTAACTACAAGAAGGCTGAGCCAGGGTAACATGACCCCAAGTATTCACACCAGCATGGGAAACATGGACAAAGTCTGTCTCCCTTTCTCTCTCCCCCATGGGTGGTAATGGAGGGCAGAGGGATACGATCCAAGCAAGGGGCTCTTGCTGTATGTACTGGACCTGGGACTGCACTCCAGAGGTGTGCTGCCCCCAGTCTCCATTGCCTCTTCTCCCTAGTCCTGGTGGGCTGTGAGAAGATAAATCTGAACAAGGACCAGAGGAGTGCTGTGTGGTCCAGAAGATTTCAACCAGGCAGAAGTTTAGTATCGGTGGACCACTCCAAAAGCAAACATGCTCTTCCAAGAAATATTTATTTGTAAGAGAGGAGAGGGAATGAAGAGAAGGCTCAGCAGTTAAGAGCACTAGCTGTGCCCGAGGTGGTGGCATAGGCCTTTAATCCTAGCACTTGGGAGGCAGAGGAAGGCCTAGTCTACAAAGTGAATTCCAGGACAGGCTCCAAGGCTACACAAGAAAACCTTCGGGAGCGGGGGTTGGGGGGGGGGGACACAGAGGGAGAGGGAGATGGAGGATCCAAGACCAATTCCCAGCACCCACATGGCAGCTCACAACTGTCTATAATTCCAGTTCAGGGGATCCAACACCTACACACAGATATATAAAACATCAATGCACATAAGATAAAAACAAATAAAATTTAAAAAGAAGAGGGAGGAAGGGTGGACTAGGAACCCTGCTCCCCTGCACTTGAAAAGAGAAAAATGTCATGAATCACAAGAAGAGGATAGCGTACAG